CTCTCTCTCCCCTTCTCTCCCTCTTTCTCGGCTTTCCCCTCTGCCTCTGATTTACTCTCTTGTTCTCCACACTCTGTTCCTCTGATCCTGTCCCACATCAAAATCAGGCCTGACACAGAGCAGGTCCAGTGTCCCTCTGAACACAGCGTGGCCTTGTTCAGAATTATGTCATCTTTTCAGAGAGACGTGTTGTGCAATAACCCCTCGGTGGACTGTTGGGGCTGTTATCTCTGAGAGTTTGGTGCGAGGCAGCTGTCAAATCCAGGTGCTCTTTACTCAGACAACATCCTCACTGCTACGCCTTAGCTTTAAAATGCATTGATGTTGCTACATTTACGCCTGGTGCTCACACTTTACTCCTGAAATTCATATTTCCTTAATTGGGTCACGACTCGACTACCGGCGGTGAATGAAAAGCGTTGCTTACACAAGGGGCCATCTCCATCTCCGACCGCTTGCATCACATCAGTGCAACTATAGGCTGTTGTTTTTCCAAGAAAAGAAACTTGGACGGTTTTCTGTCCAAGAACAGAATTCCCTGCTCTAACTTTTCAAGATTGTTGTTTCTCATTCATTGTATTTTCTATTAGTTCTATTAGTTAACATCTGCACGCTGGATTATCTAACGATAACAGTGTCTATCAGTAATCATATCAGATGAAACATTGCAATGTCTGCAATAGCATATTTCCCAGAGGTAGCACAGATGCCGTACAGTCTTGCCATGAATGCCTCTTGCACAATCGCTGAAAGATTCAGACTCTCACTTCTAAACCGCAGAGAAACAAACCTGGATTCAACTATGTCGAGTCTGAAAACAACAAGACGTTTTATCTTTGAAACTGAGCTTCTGCTCGAGGAGGGTGAGATTTCCATCAGGCCACAACCTCTGTCACTCACTGGCTTCCACATTCTGCATTTCAGGAACGACTTTCACTGATTTACCAGCAAACTCATACTTTCAGTTTTTCTTCACCTGACAAAAGTCGACATTCACGAGCATTCAGTCAGTACCCTGCATCAGTTTCCCAAATCTGAACTCCAGAGTTAGACCCTTCTGAGCTCTCTTTGAGCTTTTGATTCCCATCGCACTCAGGCATTTTTGTTTGCCGTGTGTTCTGCATAAATCCAGGGTGGCCCATCTCCGAGCTGGTATGACTCACTGAGGCCTCTGAGGATTGCAGACTGACAGGTTAGGAAACCACATACAGCAGATGCCTTCAGGCAGGGAACAAAGTCAACTCACGTCTCCTCGGGCAAGCCACTTATTTACCCAGACAGCCTGCCATCGTCTTGCACATCGGAAAAAAAGAACCAACTTTAAAAAAAAAAAAAAAAAAAGGTTAAACTTTAGATTCCACCAGATGTGCAGGGAAGAACTTGGTCATCATGTTCAGTATCACAGACTCAGTGTTTCCTTTCATTCAATCTGAGGGAAACGTGAGCAACAAAGCAGATCTGATCTTGATTTAGCCTCACCATGTCTGAGCTGGTAGCTAAGAATAAGACACGTGAATTGCGGGGGCGTCCGTTTGTAAACACTTTGTAGACGTCGCTCTGAGCAGGTCAGATTGAAGCTGGCCAAGAATGTGCTCAGCAACAGTGCTCCGAGGAGAAGATTCCCAGCATTCCTCACTGGTTGGGGAGAGGTACCGGCCTTCACAGATAGGAAGTCGTCTGTCATTAGGGGGTAATCACTTCTAGAGGAGGATTGCAATGCCTGGAATGATTACTGTTGTTATCGGCAGTGAAACTTGGCGCACAGAAAGCAGATGAGGGTTTTTTTCCCCCCCCTCTCTTCTTTTTCTCAGTTTTCTCAACGTATTTTTCTCAGCTTGACTTGTGTAGTTTTGGCCCCAGTTGTTTTTCAAAACTTCTCCACTTTAGCGCTCTGCTTGGTTTTGATCTGCAGCACAGTCCTCAGTGTGCATTCAACCAGCTTTAGTCGTGTATAAATGCTTCAGTGTTGACTTAAAGCTAGTTGGTATTTCTTACCTGGGGGCATTTCTAATTACTAATGGCTCGTGTGTAATGATGCCTATCATGTCAGTGGTGCAACAAGGTGGATGCAATCCATCATGAAAACTCATGTTAGAACAACAGAGAATTTATCCAACTGCGTTTTGTCGGTGGCGGTTTGCTGTCTCCCACGCCACTTATCTGTGTTTGTTTCCAGGGTTTTGCTCCTGCAGCCGTTTCAAGTGGTTTGTCTGGGTCCTCTGCAGTTTTTCCATCTCTCCTCCTCTTGTCTCCTTCCCTCCCCCCTTGTCCTCTTGCCTTCTGCCAGTTGAGCCAAGACATCAGGTCGAATGATGCCGTTACAAAAAGAGCCCATCAACGCTTGCCCAACATGCCAAGCCAAGTATTGGTCTTTCGGGGTCCACCCCCCTTGCCTCCTCCTCCTCCTCCTCCTCTCCTTCCCCGTCCTCCTCCTCCTCTCCTACCCCCACCCCTGGATCCTTGAGAACAGGAAGTGTATCTTGTTAAGTGATGGATGGGCCCCCTGCTCTTGCTGAGAGGAAAGAAAAAAAAGCCTTTCTTTCCCTCCAGGGCAGTCAGATGAGTTTAGCAATCTCAAAGCTGAGGGTCGGCTCTGCTTTTCGAGAGCGCCTTGGAACCCTTGGAGCCCGAGCGCCTGGAAGCCACGGGCACTTGTCCACTATGTGTGCAGGGATAATTAACGGCTGATAAAGTAGCAGGCGGCATCTTTGCTCTTGAAAAATGGATCTGAAATTAAAGGGACTAAGCCAAAGAGTGTTTACAGGAATTGCTCGTTTGTGTGAGCGCACATGCACGCTCATGTACACAGTGTGTGTTAATTTGCATGGCTCTGTATGTGTGAGTTATTTAGCTGGGGGTCAGCAGGTTTGTGTTGGCATGCAGCCGCCAGATACTTCCAGGGAGAGCAACTCAGGAAGTATCCCTGGCACGTACTCTGTACAGTGCAATACACACTGCTGCGACTGGCTCGACCTGCTGTGACAAACATCCACAGACTGCAACCCCCTCTGCACCCGCCTCACCTCCTGCTCACATACAAACCTACACTACCCTCTAACCTGTGGGAAGAATCGTGACAACAAACTCTCACGTGTGTTAGTTTTATAGTCGTTTTTCCAGATGCAACTTATCAAGTTTCCCAAGTCTCAAGCCCTGATGACTTGAATTTAACGCTGCAGCCCTTAAACCTCTGATCCGCCCGTGTCCCAGCAGGTCTTCACAATAACCACCCTTTCCTCGCAGTGACGTTATTCCTCTCCGTCCGTTTTATGCTGATAGTTTGTCACCGACAGCCAGACCCTCTCCTCAATCGAGTGGAAGAATCCAGAGGCCTGAAAAACAAGGACGTTTCCTCTCATGATCCATTGCTCCTTTGTCAGCCATGGCTCTGTTGTGGTTACCTAAGGGTAGCTACTAATGTTTGTCTCCAGTTTCCATCCTCTCATATTCCACACACATACACAGGAGCACAAAAAAGCAACAGATAAAAGGCAGGAAAACTGTCCAGAGGGGAGAGAAAGAAAACCATAAAGCACAACTCTTAAAATTGCACCTGGCGCACTTTGCAATCAGATGGACTAAATTGTAAAACACGGATCGTTTGAAGGAACCTTTAATGTAAGGATGCAACTTTGTTTTGTATTGTTCTGTTTTTCTCATCAAGCAAACACGAGCCATTTCCAGTTTCACATATAAAGAACGCAGCAGGAGATTTTCCGGGTCAAACTTGTTCACAATAGCAGGAAGATGTTTTTTGTTTCCAGCACATTGACACCAGCGTTCGGATTGAATCTTGAATCTAGTTGTGTATTCTATGTGTATGGGACCTTTTTTTTTTTTATCTGCATTTTCAATTCTTGTCCGTCATGTGTTGGACATGTCATCGACACAAACATTTTACGGGGAACCTGGCAACTGAAAGACATTCTCACATACAGCGCCTCCGGAAACATTTCACTTTCCGTGCATGTCCGAAAGCAGCATCGATGAAATACTGTAAACGTCTACGTGCACGATATAAAAGACACAAGGAGACTGTCGGGCTAGAAGGATATGTTGCTCCTGTTGTGCAGGAATCGCAGTGTGATGACTGTGCAGGAGTTCAAAGGCTGCTGGTCCGCTCCCTCCAACCTTCACTGATCACTCCTGACGTGACCTCCTGCATGGCTTGCGTCTGCGTGTGTCTCCTGCCTTGTCTCCGCTGGCCGGGGTTTAGCCCCGCTGTGGCCTGTCTGGCCCAAAGCCAGGGACTCCACTGTCTCTACAACCAGGCCTCGCTGGATCTTGGAAGATCAACAACAAGGAAACTGTCAGTTCCAGTTGATGTTTGTTTTTCTGTTGGTGCTTCAGCTCCACTGGCTCAAATTAAAAGCTGATTCACAGCAAATGAAAATGCATTTTGTTCTTTTATCATCCTGCCGTTCCTGAACCAGCCGGCCAGTCAAAGGGCTGGGCAATCCAAACCAGACAACACTCGACCGTACCTCAGATTGTCGCGGCCTCGATGTGGAAAGGAGACAGCGCATATTTGTCTGTCCCTCTGCTCGTCTGTGTTTGAGAGGCGCCTGCCACTTAATGACGTCTGACAAGCGAGACAGCGACGGCTTTGGGTACTCAAGGACTGTTTTGGGGTCATGGAGATGTGATCTTTAGGAAGTGGAGGGTTTATCAGATAACATCAACACTGTCTCCACGCTGACTGCAAAGAGTGGAAAACTGAAATTTCACAGTTTGCCTTTTAGGCATTTGGTTCATGGTCTCATGTAAGATTCAGTTTCCAGATCTCCATTATAACAAGCAAGCAGGAAGGAGGTCAAAGGTCAGAGTCCTCGTGTCCTGACGGTATTTTTGTGACGCCAAAGTGATCATGTGCAAAAAAATCTACTAAAGCAAAAGGACATTTAACTGATCACCAGTATTGATGCACTTGTCAGACTTGTGTGTGACACTTTCTGAAATATGAAAAATCAGACGCTGACCTTCTCCTTTCCATCCCACAGGCTCTGATGCGTCCAGGTCGCCTCGACCGAATCGTCTACGTGCCTCTTCCAGACGCTCCGACACGACAGGAAATATTTTCTCTCCAGTTCCGTTACATGCCTGTGGCCCAAGATGTGTCTCTAGATGACCTGGTCACACGGACAAATAAATATTCTGGAGCGGAGGTGAGTTATAACACTGAACCAGCCACAACCATAAAACACACGAGACAAATATTCTTGTTTCCTGAAAATGACAAGAGAAGTGACGGCATAAGTAGATTTATGAAATGAAATGTTTGACCTTCATTCAAATTTCTAGTATCACTCACTGGAACCAGAGTTTTCTGTTGCACTTGAATATTGGCATGACAGTTTGCATGTTAAGAAAATCTTTTTTTTGAATTTGACAGAGTTTTTCCTGTCGTATTCTCACATACGCCCACAAAGATATGTTCACGGAGGCTGAGGAGCATCAGGAGCAATTGTCTCGGACATTTCTCACTTAGAAAGATTTCTGGGAAATGTCCGAACTTCGGTGCATGTCTGAAAACAGCTTGTGTTTCTTGTCAGGAAAGGTGCAGTGCAAATGGTGTGTGCGAGCGACAAGGATTCAGACCGGCAACCCTGCTTTCATATGATTAAATCTGTACCTTGTGACTTCAGCTGAAAAGAAACTGTGACTGTGTAGTCTGAGAGATGTTACTGTGCTTTTCCATGATGTCTCTGTCGTGTCTGCACTCTGTCACAGAGCGCCCTCGTGATCTCACTGCAGACTGGGAGTAATCGTACAAACACGTCTTTGTGTGACAGATTCGTCTCTCTCCTGAGCAGAGGAACTGCTACTGTCCTCCAGGACACGAAGACATGAGAAATGATAAGAGATAGTGAACAGTTTTCAAAAGAACGTTTTCAGTATTTGCTGCGTTCTGGTGCAGTGTTTGATGTATTTGGGAGTTTTATGTCCTGGGTCTTGTTTTCTCTATCTCTGTCTTGTTCTTTGTCAGAGAAATTGTGTTTGTCTTTGACCTTCAACGTGACTCATAGTGCATACACTATTCGACAGGAAGAAAAAACATTCCCATAAGATGAACAGTATATCTTTCCCCCTGAATATAAATCCCTGTTGTATATTTAGACTTGAAGGGATACAGACATTATAGAAATGTCGTGTTTGTCTTTTGACGGCCTCCGAAAACGACGCTTTCTAAATAACTCGGACGCAAACTCGCTGCGGCAGGTTATGAAAACACAGATTTCATTGTTGTCCCAGTCATTCTTTTTGTTCTGACATGTTCGTCAGTACCGCTGAGCACAGATGAATCTGTGATGTGTTCTTAGTCTGTGATTCTTTCATTCACTTCTGTAAGACAGAGCAGGAGCTTGTTTTGAAGCCTCCTCCGGCCACTGGGCAGTTAAAACTCTCCAGCTCTGACGTTTGAGCCTGAAGAAGTTGCCCGAGTTTGTGATCTCCGTTATTTGGATTTTACTCTAATCTCGGATATTTATTCCAAGATTTGGTGCAATCCTAGTTCACTTTTTAGGATTTCTGATTTAAAGCTTCATCCCATACAGGTTCAAATCTGAATTGGTTATGTTCCAGTTGTGTAAAGGTCATTATTTGGATTCTCCAAATTGTAAATCCTTAATTCAGTTCATTCAGTTTCCTGTTTTGTGTCATATTTGGAGTGGACGCAGTCCTGAAGTAGATTAATTAACACAGCTGAACCTTTATCATCAGTGTATCACGGAGCATGTTATCTTACTTTAACATGGATCATTCCTCTTATAGGTGCTTTAACATTTACACACTGACGTAGACAACTGAGTACTGCTCATCAGGGCTTGGATCAAGTCTGATCAGGACCTGAGAGGTGTTGGTGTGTTTCTATCTTTTCTTTTTGAGGTTCTCTGTCTCGCTCATATCCTCAAAGTACTCGCTCTCACTCCTCGATTCCAGCCCCCACCCAAAAAGCAGCCTAAAGCAGGTGTCCACCTGGAGGATGTATGCAGAGAGAAACCAATCCCCCGCTATCAGGTGTTGTGTTTGACATCAGGGTTTCTGGTGTAGAGTCGCATCTGTGGAATGGAGGTTTTGCAGTCACTTGCCATTGACTTCTTGAAACCCCACAAGTCATGCCACAGTCACGCTGATAAAGGTATTATAGGTATGGGGGGGGGCGGGGGGCCTGGGTATCACCTGTCTCCGTATTATATTTGACATACCAACGCTATAGATCAAATTAGATTAGGTGAAATTTAAAACTCCCCTGATGGGAAGTTTGAGAGAAAAACAAGATATAGATAACAGCTCTGCACAGATGATGATGTGTTTACAAGGAGAGAGAGCGCCCAGGGACAAATGCAACAAATCAACAAGTGAAAGTCCAAACACGAGCATGAGACTGGTGAGGCTTTCGCATCTCCATCATCATCAGATTTAATTTCATAGGATCATTGTCCTTTTTTTAAACCTAACATTTTATGAAAATAAAAAGCTTGTTGTCATCTTTACAACACCCACATCCACTAGAACTCAGTTCCTGATATTTTCTTTAAATCTCATTTTCACCCGTTTGTGAAATAAACAATTATATAGATCCCAGTTTTGAAAATGCACTTTGCACAAAACCCACAGCTCCGTCTTTTTTTATGTGCTGCCCATGCGTCTCATTTCCGTTCGGCCTCAGCGATCCCTGCAGAGATCGCATCCACCGGAAGGAGAAGTCACCTGAACACACGGCAACAGGAACAATGTGCTCCCTGTTTACACCTCCACGCACACGCCTGGTCTACGTGAATTGTCACGTGATGTGTGTTTTCGGATTTGTTAGTATGGACGGAGATTAGTTCTGTTGTGTTTGTTTTTTTTAAAAGCCATTTTAACTCAAACGTATTTGTGAGGAAACCCTCACAGTCTCTGTCTGTCGCTCGGATGAAAACAGTCACAGCCGCTGAATCTCAACCACTTCCCTGCCCAGATTTCTTCTGTTGGTTCAGGGATCAAACCTGTCACCTCGCCTCACCTCCGCATTTCATTTGGTCACAGAGGGGTTTAATACTTGTTTTTTACGGACGGAGAAATCTGTACATGGCTGCAGAGGCGATGCACAAACGGGTGCATTGAGCTTGTTTCAGTCCTCAGTCTTGGCAGAGTGACGACCTGAAGCTTTGACTTTAATTACATTCCTGGGATTTCAGGCTTGTTTTGGAGGAGAGGGAGGCAGGATCGCAGGGGAGGAGGAGGAGGAGGAGGAGGAGGTGGTGGTGGTGGGGAGTAGAGGGGGTTCGCAGGACGTAGTTGTCAGCTCAGAGCTTGAAGCTTGTTAAAATCACCTGTCTTCCTACCTGCCCGGAGTGACACCTGGTTTCCCAACCCTCGCCTTCCCACTGAACCCTTCACTGACACCACACACACACACACCACACACACACACACACACACACACACACCTTTAACTCACGCTCAGCCCA